CAAACTTCTTAGCCATTAGGCCACAGGCTCTTATCCGTTATCAGCGAAGCCAGGGTGAAAGGTATCTATTAGATTTCTTTTATATCTGATATATGATCACCTTAGCTTAATAAACTATGCATACCTTTCTCTCTCTCTCTTTTTCTACAGAGCTTTTTACAATCCTTAACTGCTTCACCTGTTCCATCCCTAATTCACATAGAAGGTTCTTATCACAACTATGACATGGTCACTCTGTTAGAGATGTTCATATTTCCACTCCTTCTGCTTACTTTTAGTCTAGAAAGGAGGAGGTAAAGAGGGAAGACAATTGTTTCCTGAGCTCCTTGGAATTCCAGCACCTTGGCCAAACTTTGCTTGCTGATTCCCAGTCTGGAGTCTTTTTCACCAGCCAGTCTTCTCTGCAGGTCTCTTTTTCCCAATCTATTTGCTCCTCATGTGTCTTCAGCTGCAGATTCCTTCTCCAAATCTGCCTGAATTCATACAACCCCTCCAGTCCATACTAAATACCAGAAATGTCCCTCAACCTCCTCTATTGCCTAACAGATCTGTCCTTTATATTCTTTCAGTCATTCTTTCAGAAGACTGCTTCACCGCAAAGCATCTCAATTAGGCAAGAAACTATGTGATAATTTTCATGGGTTGGAGAAGTAGACAAAAAAATCAACAACAATCATCCTGTAACTGAGACCAATTTACTATTCCATCTCAATCAGAACATCTCATCCTGCCACAGTTTGATACAATCACCCACTCTACATTTATCCTGTCAGATTTATAGTTCGGAGAATGCTTCGCCTTCCTGTGTAGTCTTCTTAATGTCACAGAGTAAACCCAATAAAGCAATAAAGTATATGTATAGTTGTGATACAGTATAGTGATAGGAAGGGGTACTTACACCACAATCCTATACCCTTTGTTTTGCTGAGATTGTGCATGTACATATATACGGCAGTACTTTGGAATAGCTCTCCAACCCTGTGAGTCTTGCAAATAATGAGGTTATTTAAACAGTTGAAGAAAAGATGCTTAGTTCATGCTTCTACCCATTGAGAAGCTCCTCTTCTCAATATTTTGCACAGCTTAATTCAATACTCACAATGAGAATCCCTGGTACTGTCAATTTTGCCCTAATTTCTTCATTCAAATGATTTTTATAATCATACTCCTGAATGGTAACAGATTTGTATGTTTAAAATGATAGCTGTTTTAAGAAAAAGCAGTCTGTTAATACTGGGTACACGCTTCACCCACAAGCTTTGCTTTGGCACTTTCTCTTTCCAAACACTTTTCTCCACAATCCAGCTCCAATCTTTGGTTGAGCAAAAAGCACAATTTGGTAGTACTTAAGGGTACATTAGGATGGCCTTTGCACTTCTCAGCCTACCAGAGCTGACTGGAATGCAGTTCTTCAGAAGCCGGTCTCAGATCAAGGATAAACAGATTTAAAGCCCACTTGTCCACTGAGCATGCCAGGTGTCTTTGGATCATCCTAAAGGTTGTAGGACAGAAATTAAGGGAAAATCCAATGCATAGTGTATGAGACCCCAGAGAAAGATTTGGATATAAATGTAACAGTAACTGCACTATAAATTTAAGCCCATGGAATTACGGTCTCCTGAGGGAAAGGAAAGAATTTTAAAGAAATTTTTTAAAATAATTAAAGCCAGGATAGTTGCTACCAGATTTCAAGTCACAGTGGCTTGGTGTCTGCTCTCAGTGTTAACTATAGGAGGAGGCTAGAGAACTCGGGACCTCCTTTGCATAAGGAATTCTTCGCCTTTTAAAAGTTAAGAAAGAGTTAAAAAGCAAAAAATTCATATGCAAAGGAGGCACTGATTCTCCCGCCTCCTGATCTGGGAACAGCGAATCATGCCTTGTTGTTGCAGTTGAGCACGCTTACGTTGGGCGGGTTATTTTGGAGGGCACGCTTCAGAGGAGAGAGGAGTGGGCCAGGGCAGCAGGCAGGTGACGGCATCGGGGGCAGCGGGGCACTTTGCATCGTGGGAGCCTCCAAGCGCCTTTGCTGCAGACCTGGGCACTTGGCGGCTCCCGCAATGCAAATTCCCCCTACCCCGCTGAGCTGCTTCGCCAAAGGCTGGGAAGGAACTGGCGAGTCTTTGAAGAGATGCCCAGCTGAGCCTCACCAGGCATAAACCTCACCGCACATCACTGGAATTACCACCACCACCTTTAGTTTGGCCTTTAGTTTCTCCCCTAAAAAACTGAGCTCCAAGATAGCTGCTTGAACTTACCAACTGAAAGTTCTTTAAAACCTATTGCAAACCCATTTACCCCAAAATATATTTTTCAACACTTAATACTTGTTTATTCAAAAGCAGACATGGGTGAGTACAACAATCATGCCATGCATATTTAAATGCATCACCACTACAAAATGTTTCTCACAGCTGTCATCCACTTAATTACTAAAACTCAAAGTAAAATCAAGAGAAGCAGTTTTGGAATGCAGCAGACATCACTTTTTTATAGGAGAAGGAAGGTGGAAATCAAGCTTGATTGTATTATCACTCACAGCTGGATTTCACTTCTGGGGGGGATTACTTATAGATGGCAATACAGATGCTGACTAAAAAAGAAACGCAATCTCCATTTCCACACTCATGCTGAAAAATCAAAGCAAAGTAAGTAGCCAATAAGTAACTCCTCCATTTCCAGGTGGGAATGAGATACATGTTGCTAGCACAACATCTAAAATACGTTCTGTAACTTTTGTATAACTTTTAAAAAACTAATTAGTACAACAGTGAGACCATTGCTGAATCCATTGATTTTGCGAGATACAACATGTTCAACCATTGCTGAATCCATTGATTTTGCGAGATACAACATGTTCAACCATTACTGAAGGGCTATAGGAAGAAGTCACCAATTTAAAATTCTCCTATTGGTAGGGCTATCTCTTATGGTTTAAAAAAAACCACACACACAGAAAGTATAAGGTCAAAGTTTCACTTGAACATTTTGGATAATTGGTACCTATAGTCTTCCCTGATAAAATCCTTACCTC